GACCCAACATTGTAAGTTTTAATGTTCCTTCTTCCACCTCAGCTACCAATTAATCCTCAGCTAAGCAGTAATTGAGAAGTACATAGAATGACCTATGAGTTATTTATGGATTGTTCTTCTTCACCCTTACGACAGTCGTACATGTTTTAAGTACCTACACAGTATTATCGAGCTGGACTAGTTAGAAATAAGATGATGGGATGACTTAAAGCTTTTGAAGATCAGAAAAGGATTGAACTTTATCTGTTCAAGTATAAAAAGCCTCTACAAAGTGGTACTACGAAGTTTTGACTAGATTTTTGAAAACTCCACCACTGTATCTAACGGCGATTGCAATGACGCATGCAGTCCAAGAAATATTCTTGGTCTACTGCCTCAATCCATATTGTGCGATTCATTTCTGCCGGCCTACATATGACCGCAGTGTGGGTAACAGTACGAGGTGCTGTGCCGTAATGGTGCACTGCCTCGCACTCGCATCTGGGTTGACCGCAAGAAAGCTAGCCTGAAATGCAGTCACGTGATGTTTCACACGTAAATTAATAAAATCACAGTTATCGCCTTTTCTGTTCCAAATTGAACTATGTCAATCAAAAGACGTTCTAATTAACACGGATTTTTTATTGATGAACATTCTTAATTATGTTTCATCTTTCCACATAATTAAAGCATCTTGTATGCTTATGGAGCAACATTAGTAAAAGCTGTTTGTATTGATGAGCACATTCACCTCCATAAATATGGCGTGGACAAAAATAAACATTCTGTATTATTCATTTCTATAATAATGTCCTCAAAACACGCTGTTGCTTTATATTATATCTTCACAACAAAAACTGATCTAATGTAAAGAAAAATAATGGTACAAGGTTATAAATAACGCACTAATTTTCCTTAATTGCAATTACCTCATATAAACTGCAGTTTATATTACTTAACGTACGCCATCAACTTAGCCACTTAACTCGGACTTGAAGTCAACGTGAAATTATTTTGGCGGCCCTGGGAGTTCACTTTATTAACGAAACGATAAAAAAAAGCTATAACTGCTCTTATTAAACTAATTGTTTGAATTACGTTTTGAATTGCGCTTTACATAATAAATGATCAACACGCTTGACAGAAACCGAATGGACTGTAATATCGAAAATGTATCAAGGTTTAGTACTGTCCCCTTCAACAACAAGGCAACTGTTTTATGCGACAGTTTAAAAATACAAAACATTAACGAAAACGTTATTGCTTGCGTTAAATTAAATTAATAGTTGGGTTGGGGTTCGTACAGATATTGATCTAACAAAAAATACTTCCCCGACGCCCATACGAATCTATGGGGTGGTGTAGGTATAGACTATGTAGTGTGTTTAAACATGGAGTGTGGGCTTGTTTGCTCAGCCACTTACAGCCGTGTAGCTTGTTAGTTAAAAAAGCTCCTATTAGTAAAAGTTAACTAGAGTTCTTATTACGTCGTATAAATAAGTAAGGTAATAAGTCCCTGCGACTCGTGGAATTTGTAATTTCTGCTGAAACTATACACTTTTATTCAAGCACTAGCGGCCGGCCGCGACTTCGTACGCGTGGATCCATCATTCTTACGCGGTTTAGATTTTTTCATACAAATGTTTTTTCCCGCTAACTCCCGTTCCCGTGAGACATACAGACAGACAAAAATTTTATTGATTGCACTTCTGGCATCACTATCGATCACTAATCACCCCCTGATAGTTATTTTGAAAATATATTTCATGTACAGAATTGATCTCACTAATTTGTACGAACAACCTAATATTATTCACAGCATGACACGCACAGTACACTAAAAAATGTTCAATACTAATATTTTTTCTACGGCATGCATAATATACTGCAACCTCTATAAGGTCGTGTATACCGGTCAAATACGAGTAGTCACGCGGCGTAGTTTCCACTTGTAAACTTTTTAACGAAAGTTGACAGCAGTGTAGAGCTTTCCTTTGTTTTTCCTCTGTCTTTTTTATATAAAAACTATTGCTGATAATTATAAGTACTTTTTAATTCATCATCATCATTTCAGCCACAGAACGTCCACTGCTGAACATAGGCCCCCCTATGATTTCCACGTTAATTAAAATCTGATATTAATTAAAATGAAACCAAAAACAATATAATATTGCTTTCTTTGAATTCAAACGATGAAAAATAATAATTTAACCTTTTTTAATGCCAGTCACAAAAAACACCCGTTCTATACCTACATTATTAACATCTGTGCTAGTTGACTCGAACAAAGCAAACATGGCACAAATGCCAGTCTGTCGCACCCTCCAGAATTAACCCCCACAGGATCGAACGGTCTACAAAACACAACTATACATAACCTAGGTACAGTCACCTTTACACCCTAAAAAACCTTAAACCTTAACCAGCTGGAATAAAGACCGAAATGTAGAGTGCATTCAAACGTCTGCGCTGATTGAAATTTCTGGATGCGAAAATTAAATTTTGAATCACCCTTCAATTTACTTAGGGTTAACTCGCGTGAGGTGCCTTTATTAAATAAGCTTTATTTATACCAAGCAAGAGTAGTATTTGAATTACATTTACATGAGAGTTCCTCTAGCGCAATATGAAAAGATGCTATAAAACTAGGTAGGTATAAAAAACAAAGGACCTAACTGATTAGATGACTAAAGGTAAATCCAGAAACTGCTCAAGGCAAATGAGTCTAGGAAAGATAGTTACGTCATTGGTCATTTAGACTGCATAATGATATAATTACACACTAAAATGCTTCAAAATAACTGCGCGAACCACCAACATTGCCCTTCTAAAAATACGATTGTCAGTTGTTTATCTTATTTAGCGACACACGTCCTACTTGTTATTTCCTCCCCGTTCGTAATACCGCTTTTATTTGTATAATAACTTCACTTGTAATATCGAATTCCAAGCCAAGGTAATCGAGGCAGCATAGTTGTGGCATGTGATGTTGAATAGAAATCTCCATTTAAATAACACTTAAGATGGCATTGCGCACCGTTGCCTTCTACAGTGCATTGTGCCGGCAATACGCGGTTTATTCGCTGTATTGGGGATTGGGGTCAGTGAAGGAATTCTTTGTGCCTTCCAGACTGCAGGTAGACAAGTAACATTTAGACTGTTGTGCAACCTATTATGTCATGAGATGCATCATGAAAGATTCTGCTTATCCAATAGCTGTATATGTCTAGATAGACAAGATCCATTAGGTATTATGAAACCACTGCATTTCGGTGCATTCTCTATTTGGCCTCATTTATGATGCTTCAAACATCAAGATCGACATTCAATTGTTTTTAAAGTATTTTAACAGGAATTTATGTCATTTATTTGGTCAGCTAATTGCACATTAACTATAGAATCTTAGGCAGTTTTAATAGGAGCTATTCTGATAGAAAATCACAACGTTTTTACTTTGATGACTTCAATGGTTCGAACATGCAAATCATAATGAAATGTCAGGCGTCGTGAAATGTGGAATTTGTGATCTGACCTAGAAACCCCGTGGCAAGCCTCACCTTTTGCCTGGCGCCATTTTTCTTCGACCACCAACAGGGGTTGAAAAGGCTTTCCCCTCAATCGATAACTCATTTACCCAAATGCACAACCAGGATGTTAATGACTGGCAAACAGCAACTTTTTCATTATATTTTTTGCCGTGAAAGCTTTTTTGTGTCGAAAAAGAAAATAAAATTCAATTTGAGTAAAACTGTGCCAGGAGGGGTTAAAAAACGAAACTTTTAATAATGATTGATTTATTGTTTATTGACTTATATATATTAATATTTAAAAAATACAGCTTCTAGTTGTCAAAAAGGCAGTAGACACGTCTATCCACTGAATAGCGGCTCTACCAGAAAGTCGCATATCAAGATTAAATGTGCATGCATACATAACGTTTACAATGTTAATTGGCGATGAAAAAGGTCAACTTGTAACCAGTGCAGTGCAGTCATTTAGAACGGATTAAGAAGTTTATCCAATATATCTTGCTCAAATAAACAAGTGATAATCGAAAAGATCAGCCAAAACTATAAAACAAGGTTTTAATTTATATTAAACAAGTGACAATCGCTGTGATCATCAGCCAAAAGTTTAAAATAAGAAGATTTTCCATTAAGGAAACAAATGACAACCGCTGCGGTCAAAACTTACACACTCTTCGGACTTTCCCGGTGTTTACTTTTAAAAACAGCCAAGGTTGGTAGTAAAATAGTGGCGCTCAACCAGTGGCGGAACCGTAAATGTCGTAAGTCACGCGAGTGGATTCCCCTCGCTTCACGGCATATTGATTAACACACATACCTACAACCGCCCAGTTCTCGCACCTGCGACAGTCATCTCTCGTGAACTTTAAATGCTAACTAACCATCAGTTGTTTATGCCACCAATGACGATGACCCGGCTGATTACTTAACGACAGACATTTTCCGCGACCGTTCCAATACTTGTGTTGAGCGCTTATTTATCAATTGAGTTTGATTGTTTTGAGGTGAACAAACTCATGCACCGAGAATTGTAGGGTTCCGTACTCAAAATTGAGGGGACCTGTTTGACTGTCAGTGGACTGAATCTCATTAATCGTAAAAAGGTGGGCGATTGACATTTCCTCGAAATACTCAGTATGTATATTTTATTGCCACTATCAACAGAAAATAAAAAAATAATAAAACTTAAAATTAAGAGAGCGCGTTCTGTGTTCGTTGTGTATTTTATTGTTTTGCGAGAGACCGAAAATTACGCGAGCAAAGCTGCGCGAAATAGCTATAAAGATACTTTCATTACCGTATTTTATTTCTGTTCAAATGAGGTACCTACGCAACTATGAAATGCATGGTCTTCAGTCGATAGCACATCAGGCTTTACAAGATAGCACCTTTTAAAACCAAATAAGGGCACTGCACAATTACACATACCTTAATGTCATCGTCCGTTTATCCTTTATCTGATCGGTTCTTCACCACTATTTTGTCCTCTTCCAGATGGATGGCGCCAGTCAGCCTGGCCATCCATGCGCCGGGAGCCGACGTGGTCCCCACGGTAAACAGCATCAGGTACCTTCGCGACTGTCTCGGCAATGACCTGATCCGCCAGTTCGTCACCTTCCACGTCTTCTTCAGCAACAAGCACATACCCACTAAGGTACGTATTAAAATTTGATCAATTTAAAGCTGTAAAATGAGAGAGAGATACAAAATTATAAACAACTATCTGTACCGTGACTTTGCCCGCAGCAATTTCTGTCTGTCAGAACTCAATCCAAAATTCATCAAAATCCACTTATTAAGTAATAGACTAAACCTAAGTCCTGTATCTACAGTTATTTTACTCCTCATAATATTTAAAATTAAATAATTCACTTGGAGAACGTAACCAATCAGAACAAATGCTCTTTTTATAAAGCGACAGACCCCCTACGCTGCTGCTTAACAGTAAATCATATCCCTGGGTACAATAAAATAAATAACCGTCCTAATGCTCATAGAAACTCATTTATCATCTTTACCAAGCTTATCAGCTTTGCAAAAAACGAACCGCTGCAAACTGGATCAACTAGATTCCTACTTTTAGCACGCCACGATAAGTCACCACTCACCATGATTAATAGTCGGAATCCTCAACAGAAAGAATTAACCTACTAAAGTTTTTTCACATCGCATACCTACCGAATATACAGTGTGTCCGGGCTCGTAGTGATCAAACTTTAAGGGCAAAATCTAGGGACAATTTTATCGATAAAAATACTTCAAATTTGGGGCCTGACCCATTTCTCGAAAAATTACATCGATTTAAGTTTTTAATTTTTAGTTTACACCTCTTCTTTAAAAAACAAGTGAAAGCGTGGGTAGCTTAACATTAATAGGCAAATATTTTATATCATGCGATAGCCAATAAAATTATCTATTAGTTGAAGAAGAAAGCAGACACAAGTTTTATACATTTTATAGGAGTAAGAATGGATTGAATTAGAAAAAATACATTACTTTTTTCACTTCTTTTTCAGTTATTTTCCAACACAAGGAAAACCAGGTCGTTAAGGTATGTTTTATTTGCATTGTATTTTTAGTATTTGAGCTATTCTACAAAACGAATGTAAATTTATTACTCTGCGCCTATTAGTTTCGACGTAATTGTTGAACAAAGATACCCCTTCCCAGCGGTTTCCATAGTAATCGGAATAGGTTGTGTGATTCTTTCAGGCAGTGCATTTTCGCATGTCGCGTGCGCTATGGAAACCGCTGGGAAGGGGAATCTTTGTTCAACAATTACGTCGAAACTAATAGACGCAGAGTAATAAATTTACATTCGTTTTGTAGAATAGCTCAAATACTAAAAATACAATGCAAATAAAACAAACCTTAACGACCCGGTTTTTCTTGTATTGGAAAATAACTGAAAAAGAAGTGAAAAAAGTAATGTATTTTTCTAATTCAATCCATTCTTACTCCCATAAAATGTATGAAATTTGTGTCTCTTTTCTTCTTCTACTAATAGATAATTTTATTGGCTATCGCATGATATAAAATATTTGCCTATTAATGTTAAACTACCCACGCTTTCACTTGTTTTTTAAAGAAGAGGTGTAAACTAAAAATTAAAAACTTAAATCGATGTAACTTTTCGAGAAATGGGTCAAGCCCCAAATTTGAAGATTTTCATCGATAAAATTGTTCATAGATTACGCCTTTAAAGTTTGATCACTACATGCCCGGACACACTGTATAATAACCAAAAGTTTCTGGTGAGCTGGATGACTTTTGTTGGTAATTTAGAAGCATAATTCGAGTTAACGACTCAAGTTTTTACAGCTTTATTTCACGAAACTAAAGCCACGGAAGTTTCATGCATTAGTGTTCGAAATAAACCTCTAAATGTTACATAACTATTAACCTTTTTTTTTCAGATTCCTGACCCGAACGTATTCTTGAATGTACCATACAACTGCACAGTCACACCTCCGTTTATATCAATAAGAGCAAACGAAACGTATATGAAACAGAAGAACCTGCTTTACCCAGTAAATGTTGCTAGGAACATCGCAAGGGACTCTGCACTGACGCACTACATCCTGCCTTCCGATATAGAGCTGTACCCGAGCCCTAACTTGGTGCCCCGATTCCTGAACATGATCGCACGAAACGCGAAACCGCTTAATACCTCAACCAAACCTCGAGTCTTTCCAATAAGCATATTTGAAGTTGACGCCAAAGTTCACGTAAGTAACAGCTTTTATCATAATAATCTTTTCTTAAAAATAACGTTTAACGTGTGACAGACAACAACGTTGTAACAGTTCATAAAATATCTTAATTTAATGGCGTCCGATCGCTATTGAACTACTGTAATTTGTAATGACTCGATTGCGATGAGTAAACGTGGAGTTTTTTCGTAGAAATGGGGTTCCTCTAAATCTGCAATATCCCGATCTTAAAACCCACAATTAGGCTGGCATATCCTCTCGGAAAACAAACACAGGACTGTGATACGATAGACTCCTCCATTCTATTAAGGCATTAGCTGTTATTAGACAAAAAAGCTAAAAATCATTTACAAATAGCTTCAGCCATAAATAAGAGCTGGCTAACTGAAATAGGTCATCCAATTAAGTCTATCTTTCTTTTTCATCAACCTAATTAATGGTGATTATAACGAGCATTCTGATAAATGCGGTCGTTCGTGCGGTGGATAGCTATCACTATTATAAAGCTTAATCATTTATATTAAGCAAACATAAATTAAACCTAATCAACCTGATCGCCAGCTATACAAAAATCCTGCCTCTGATAAAGCAAGTAGACATGATCGAAACACTGTTCTCGCTAAAGATATCTACTAAACTCCTTCCAATAGGTCACTAGAAGATGACTTTTTCCCACAAGAACACGCTTTGAAATACCTGCACGTATTTAAAACCGTTCAATTGCCATAGTACACTCTATTATGTCTTTCACGCATGACCTAAAGCAAGTCATTCCAAAATAAACGAGTTATTCACGTAATCCTTTCCAACTTTCAGGTGCCATCAACGAAGACAGAGCTGCAAGCTATGTTGGCCAACAAAACCGCCATACCATTTCACAAGTTCGTATGTCCAAACTGCCACAACATACCGCAGCGCCAACAATGGATGACCGCCAACGAAACCAACCGTAAGAATTCAATTACATTTTCACAGCAACGGAAAATAAGCTATCGAAACAATTCATCTCCATTCACATGTCTTATTAATCAAACAATCCCATGAGATTAATGTTCACAGACCGATCTGGTTCCGATTGGAATTTAATTTGTTCATTAAAGGCGATGAGTCTTTATAATGCGCACGCCATTCTATAAGGCGCCTTATTCGGTGTTGAATCGATAAGACTACCTTGACTAGTCTAGCAGGACGCATCAATAGCATTACCATAAAAAACTAACATTATTACCTGCGACACTCAAATTGATGGGACGTATCTTCTAGATTTCGTTATGATGCTTTCAAACAGCCAATTCATGCTAATAAAATCGCCATTGGCTACAAAGTAGGTGAGCCTCGACTACAGTGCTTTTTATCTTGTAGGATGTTGAGATCTTGAGATGTCTAGGCCAAGTAGGGCAAATGTCACCCGGTGAGACGAACGCCAAGACCAGTATAGGTATAGGTCCTGCCGATGTAACCTACTTTTGCTTTTGTCTGTAATTGCCAACTTGGGTTCTATTTGTTGAAATTTCATTAGCAATTAATCACGGGTGCCGTAGTATCGTGGGCTATTTATGCCGTCTGCATGGCGTTTGCGTCGTATGGGGCATTCTAATTGCGTATTATGGTTCAATGACCGCGCTACCCGCCCGTTCCCAGACGCTCGGCGTTTTCTTACGCCAATTTGCAAAATCGAAAAGGCTGCTCCCGTCCGCATGGATTGGATTGCATCTTGCATAATTTCCGTAATTTCATATTTGCTGGCAGCGAAACTGCTACCAACTCCGTTTACTTCATTTCCTCTATAAAATATAGAGCACCGTCCACAGTCAAAGGAAAAAACGTTTTCACAAAATGATTCTAGACCCAGCAAAAGATGACTCACGATAACAACTGACTATTATCTTTTCAAAAAACGCTGCTGCATCTTTTTACAACAAGCAAGGTTTCGGTCATTCTCATTGTGTAATTTTTGTTTTTATTTGTCACAGAAATGGACGTGTTCCACGTGGGCAAGCGACAGAGAAGTTTTGTGCATTGGGAGCCAATCTTCATCGGCACCCACCAAGATCCTTATTATGACGACCGACTCAGCTGGGAAGGGAAAAAGGATAAGATGACTCAGGTTTGTATTAACTTACGCCTCCCTCAGACATTAAGTACATATAATTTTAAGCTACAAATGTCATCTGCTTCTTCAGGCACTACTCCTAATAAACATAAATTCTGAATTTCGTTTATCATTAACATTGTTGCGCTGCTCTTTTCCTGTGAGGAGCACATTTTCCTCACCTCTAGTTATATTTTCCCAGTTGATTGTTGCTAAATTCTTATACTCTCTTTTTCAGGGTTACATCCTCTGCGTGAAAGACTACGAGTTCATGATCTTGAACAACGCCTTCCTGATCCATAAGCCCGGCATCAAACACTACGTGAGGAACGCGAAGAGAGACTCCCTGGCCGCAAAGCAAACCGCCTACATCAAGAATGTCATCATGCCCGAACTAAAAAAGCTGTACGGGACAAGAAATGGATGCGCGCTGTGACGAAAACATAAAAAGATTGTTAGGATCCAAAAGAAAATTCGTCATAAAGACTGATATTCAAATCAGAGGCTATTTAGGAGTCTTTAAAGCCTTACTTGTTTCTACAGTGAGAACGGTAGTTTTCCCAAAATGGGTTTAGGGCTATTGGTTCATATTTATGGAAGTTACTAACGAATTTTGGACATGCGCTGACTTCTCGGGTCTCGCGAAAGTGTACGTTACTGTAACTTGGACAGATATTCATGCTCCTTACTTCAGTCGAGCAAAGCCGCTGGACTGTGACGTAATGTTTGATATACTATCTCGTGATTGCTTCGCTAAGTTAGAAATAAATCGATAACAATTAACGACCTAAATGGGAACATTTCCTAGAGATATTGATGAAAAAATTAAGGAGATTGATTGTTTTATTAGTGCCCTTTAAAGAAGACTTTCTAGCTGTAAAATTGAAAAAAATTTCGGTACGTACACCGAAATGTTTGAAGTATCAATCAGTTTAAGCCCCATTGTCGCTGTATGTGTAATCAAATTGCGTTTAATAATAATATTAATCAGGTTACAGGGTGTATAACCGCCTGCCTTTTATACAAAAACAATTGTTTAGCTTTTTAGAATGAATTGAACATATCATATTGACGGCTATTAGTGGTTATTTGACCAGTTTTTACTCGAATGTTATGTATTACATAGTTATTAACATAACTTGTATGTAATAATCCTATCCAATAAGTAGTACCTACTCGTCTAAATGGGATAACGTACAATAAAATGTGCTTCGCAGAAATCCCCGTGTTCTTAGCAATATTAAATAAGTAAGTACTAATAGTCCCTAGTAAATATTCTGGACAAAAATAAATGCCCAAATGGTTTTTGCACAACAAAATTTAAAGAACCATTGCCTGTTAGCAACTTGAATAACTTTTAATAAGGGTAATGAATATAAAGCTCGATTTTATGGTTCAAAACTTTGGTAACTTTTACCCTCTACAAACATTGAAATATTGTAACAGTCTCACCAGAGTAAATGAGTGTTCTTCAATAATGAAATATTTAAGTGCTGGTGCACACACGACGGTTACATTTTTAAGCAATAACGACGTCCATAATGTCTAAGTCAATTGCATGAATATATTTTTTTAATAACTTTGGGTATTCAGAGCTAACAAACGCAAACATAATATAGGATCTACGTATCACTGTCAAATAGTTAAGTACTGATAATGATCTACAACTTTATTTGCAGTCAATGGCTTCCAAAACTCTGAATTTATGAAACAATCGCCTGATGTAATAGGTATACCAATAAGGTACCAAATATATTAATATATTGATAACTCAATGCCTAGCATTATAAGCTTATGAGACCGAGGCCTTATTATATCCGTAGTGTGTAAGCAAGTAATTTTACATTGATCGCGGCATTCATTTGTTCGGTAGGTCCTTCGATTGACATTTTCTGCACCCGCGCGTCTATCTGACACGGCTTAAAAAAGACTCTTGAAGAAATTTCTAAGAATATTTCTATTAATACCGTGAATTCTATTGACCCCATTCTACGGTACCTGGACAGTCAGATCCAGAAAGATTCTAACGCGCGTCTATGAATATTTGAACAGGCCTAAGATAATTTTTCTTACATCCGCATTCAGAGAACGTCCTGAATTGCCTGGTGCGACAACCTTCAAATAGCCTCGCCATAAAACGAAGTCTTGGTAAATGTATAGAATAAATTAAAAATCCTCAATTGAAGCCACTGCTTCAGCAAATAAGCACAAAGATATCTTTTTTCTTTAAAATGCTGAAGACGAACACTATAATCCGGGCGTTTTCAAGGCGAGAGGGAATAGGCACTTACAGGGCAGATATGTGCCATTGCAGTCAAATACCTGCCTTGTCTAGCATAAAAAAAAACGCTCTACATGAGCTGGTGGAAAATAATGATTTACTTCTATGGATGTATGGATTTTTTAATGATTTTTGACACATCCCATGTTTGCGTCTTTTTTATATTGCCTCGACAAGATAACTAGGAAGTTCTAGACAATTCAGGACGCAAGCAAATTATCACTATAACAGTATTCTTTCAAATATTGATTTTGAAAAAAGTGATAAGTTAACGCTCTGCCAGTGCAGTTGTTTTTCAGGATTTTTAGCTTCTGAGCCTCTACATTTACATATCAATTATTGTAGAATAATGTGGATAATCAATTTATTTGTAGGCGTAATTTTATACTTTATGTCTCAATTATTATCTGTAAATATAATGTGAATTAAGGAAATAATCATTTTTGAAAATAAATTAACTTACCCTAAGTTAAACAGTGTAAATGTTTTACTGTGCGGTAAAAAGTAAATATTCCGATCCTTGAAAAAAGGTGGAAGATAGGGATATTTTGGAAAAACCTCCATTAGCAATATCTACGTCATTGTTAGTCGTCTAGAATTCCTGAATTGCATTTCGTAATATTATTAATGTGCCTATTAATCGTGTTTAATAAAAATCCATTTACCTCAACATTTTGTATGTGAATACATTTACAGAATAATATTGCTTCTTTTGTTGCACGTAAATGGATTTGCAGACAGAAAGTGTTCGTGATTTGTTCAGATTTGAAAAGTTTCAGAGATGAAAAAGTTATAAAATATAGGTATTAACGTTCACAGTGAAATCTCTCTATTGATTGTGAAAATTATCTACTGTCTACTGGCTCATCCATTCATCCCGAGACAAGAGAATTCTAGTAACGAGCACTCAGACACATTTGTCTTAAAATTTCTCTTATATGTGGTCATGCAATATCTAATTATGCTGGAATATGCTATACAAATGGTTGAACGTGGCTTATTCCACAATCAATAAAGAAAATTAAAAAATAAGAAACTTGAGCTGTGCAAATCTCGAACAAGTTCTGGATTTTAATTCTGCCTCTACTTAGAATAAAGTTGAGGCAGAATAATACTGTAATATAATATAATTATACACACTGATGTGTGAAGAAGAGCCTGAAGGTATTCGTGATACTCTGTATTATACAAAATTAGTGCTTAAACTCACCACGTTCGAATTAATAAGTAGGAAAATAATTTAATTTTCATAATTTCTTAGTCCTATGTATAAATTAATTAAGATATTTTTAGATAATGTGATGTAATATAAATAAAATCATTTGAATATTCTCTAATGTACTCAACTTTTACTTAGTCATTTTTGGAATGTTTCAAACATGTTTTGTAATATAGTTTCTTTTGGACTATTTTGTTTAGGTCAATTATTCCTTTACTGTTTATAGTTTTAATGTTTCTTTAGGCTAAGTATTTCTGGGGTTTGGTTATGGCAAAAGCATGTGGTGAGTTTTCACTGTCGGCACCAAGGTTCGCAAAGTGCCTCTTAGTTGATAAGTGCATATATAAAAGTCTTTCAATGTGATCATTTACGAAAATGTATTTATCGAATAATGTAAGTAGTTTAACTTTTATATCAGCGGTTTCATAAAAATCTACAGGTAACGTGTAATCGGTCTAAACTTTCGAATAAAAGAAATCTTATTTCTGACGTTGCTGGTTTTATTACTAAATCCTTACTGTAACCTAAAATATTAATAAAATACCATTTATGATTAACATTAAAAGAATCTATAACAACGAATATACGCCCAATCCTAAAATTGCCACTTTAAAATTAACTTTAACCGTATCTCCTGCTGAGCGTCTTCTATAGAAAGGACCTGGTCCAGGAGGATAGTGACTGTCAGGAGGTCTTATGGGGTCTCTATACCTCGCATACTCATCGTAAGTGGGTATCCTGCTAGTTGTATGAGGAGGGTCTGGATAACCTGGGGTACTTCTCCTTTCCTCTGCTGATCTTTCAGTTACTTCTGTATCTGTTTGAACCGCAGCATCTTTGGATTCAGGAGCTTCTTTAGATTCCGGTTCTTTAGGCTCTTCTGCTTGACTTGCTTCTTGCTTATCATCTCCATTATCACCTCTCCCTTCACCATTCGACCACAAAATAGAATCGTTAAGAATATAACTAGGGAGAAATACAGTCTGCACTCCGTCCAAATAAATTGACGTAAAACGATTATTAACACTCGATGAACGGGGTGCTAATGCAGATGGGACTGTGCTAGCAATTCGTCTTGGATAACGAAATAAAATCAAGTAGTTTCTGTGAAAAATAATGAAAAACAATAAAGTATTCAAAATCCCAAAAGATGTCATTTCCTTGGCATTTAACGTCTCATTTTTTCATTTATGGTCCCATATTTGTAGTCTATGAACGTCACAAACACCAATCTTCAACGAGGATTTAACAATTCATAATTATTCCACAATTCTACAGCTTCGTATAAGGCTAAATTAATATCAAGTTTAAACTCAAACATAATTCGTGCAATAATGGCTTCGCTAACTTTAAGTTTCAAACAGTCGAGAATTCCGAAATTACGGCAACATCCCAGACGCTCGCCTCTCAGAATGCTGATGAGGCAGCCTGAGATAAGGAAGTTGATCAGACGGTACGTGCGGCGCATACTCCGAAGCCAGGTTTTACCCTATTAGGCTCAAATTTATTTCTTATCGTACAACGGCCAACGCACAGTTATCATAATGGCATTCTACGTAAGAATCCGAAGAAGAGGAAGAAAACTTGCGATTTACAGTTTAATGTGTTGTATCCAACTCTTTAATGTGACCGAAGACTCTTTAGGGGCGATACACAAGTAGCAACTTAAGTTCGGCTTTTTCAACTTGGACAACTATATACAAACTTGCAACGCTGCTTATCACGTTTAAAGTAAAAGAAGGTTGTAAATTCCATGTGTGTAATCTATCTAGACACAAACAGACATAATATCTAGATGTCTGTCTGCGGCATCTTAACTTCCAAAGTAACACCCGTATTGACAAACTATACTTGCCTAAATGAAGCAGAAAATCGAACGCACAGCGTTGAATAGAGCTCTTTGATTGGTTCGTGTGACACCCTGTGCGTCCACGCGCACTGTGAGACCTCATAGTAATGTTTGTGAATATGGGCGTAAATAACCCTGACTGTTGAGAAGCAACTGCTTCGGGCAACTAATGTTGCTACGCATGATCATTACCCTATTAGAATCGGTAATTGATGTTTTATTATCTTTCCGAATCAATTAATGTTTAATTTCGAAAACAATGACTGCACAGGGACAGCGCATTAACAATACTTACCAAAGAACACACCAAAGACATCCGCGTGTCAAACTCTAACGAATCGATCGTCGTGGTGGATCCTTGACTTTCAAATAACATTGAGCATTAAATTTAATTAATTCTCTGAATTTTAATTTCAAAGGTTGGGTTGGTTGGTTCAAATGTCTCCTATCATTATATAAATATTATTATAAAAGGTACCAGTTTATAATTTGACTTTTAAACTGTTAAATTTTGCCATTTCGCTTGGCCTTTTCATTTTAGTTATCCTTAGATATTATTATTGTTGTCTATAGTTTAACTATCAACTTTGACTTCTTATTAGCATAATTTAAAACTGAACTTTAATGGGTGTGGACTGTGGTATGTATTTGATTGGTTAAATCATGATTATGGTGTGTTTGATAAGGGTGTCATCGTCTCATGAGCATCATCTTAGACACGCACTTAAAGAGCTTACGATTAATAAAACCTTCTAAAGAATAAACCTATAAAACGTAGCTGCAATAAAACAGAACGAACACTGCCTTTCGCGGAATCCTAATTATGTATAATGGCTTAACCATCTATCTCATAATAGATGTTTTTACCACATTAAATTATGCCTTCATTATTATAAGTTTTTGCTGTATTTCTAGTCTGTGAAGGCTTGGGCAAATAATCTCTATTATTTGCTGGCGATACGTGGCAGAATGATCTTATCGCCTCAGTTCGCCTCATTGTCCAGTGCTCTCTTGGGCACAGGACCTTAGAGGTGGGGTTTCATAGTTAATTTCTCAATTTAGTTAGACGGCACATGCAGGCATGAATAGACCTTAAGGTGATAGTCATCTAAGAATAAAAAACTGCTTCATTAAATGTGTTGTCCTTACTACACTAGCTTCTACAGTTTTACTTTTAATTATTAATCAATTTAATCATGAATCAACTATGACCAAAACGATCACACTTTCCACATAAGTAGGTACCTACTTCAATAACCGTATTACTTAGTGTTAATTTTTAATTGAAGCATACTCATAACTTCAACAGTTTACTTTGGATCAATATTATTGTAGTTCAAAGAATATTCGACTTCACTTATATCCCATTCATAACTAACCTAAGAAATAACCACAGCTTTGGTATGAAAAGGACATGGGCGCAAGAAACTCAACAACTTTGTAAGCCTGAGGTGAGGCAAGACCACCTCTGCGTCAATTTACTACCAATAAATGTCCATCCAATTTGCTGGCAAACCCATTATTCCCGTATATCCTGGGAACCTGATATGAAAGGGACCGCCACGTTGACATCTAATTGAGTAATTAATTAGATAAGTATCATTGAACATGCGAAAGGAAAACGTAGAAGCATTAGTAGTGTCCCGATGGTAGGATATTCCGCTAAGAGAATTCGCATGTTTTTCATGATTCGTGCCAGTTTTCTGAATACAAAGAAACTAGGCATCAATGTCATAGTAGATTCTACTTACTATGGCAATCATTCTGTAACTTTTCCATAAAGTGCAAAATCGTAATACTGATAGCACGGCTGATAGCTCTGACCGATGAGGTTATCACCTTTAGTTTTCGGCGCGTTTGAATGTCAAAAAACTTTTGTTGTACAAAATCTGCTTGAAATGTAGTAAAAAAGAATTCAAATATTTAAAAGAATTTAAAAGCGTTTTGGTAACTTCTATACCATTTTACCTTTAACTACCATCCAATTAAAGGATATTGTATGAGACGCGCTCTGAGAAATAGGGGTAATTTCCTCGCACGGCATCAGAACGTAAATGAATAGCCCTAATACCACCATTAAGCCTAATTACGTAGCTTACAACTGACCAGGTTTTGGTCTAATTAGCTCTTTATATCGCACCGTAAAAAGAAATAATTATAACAGGTCATGGCACAATACAGATCACTGGAGCAAATGATGACCATTGTAATAGCGTTCATCAGTTGGCGCCCCTGGCAAATAAGGTCCAGATGACTCCACCAGTGGCTAGGCAATGGTACTAACTAATGAGCAGAAAATTAAATATGGTACTCTACCTATTAAGAAAATATCATTTTTCGAATATTTGATAATTTCATACCCGGATTAATCGACCACGTCTTTTTAGTAAATAACGGACAATCGCAAGAATTTCAAAAGCATTACGCGTTCTCTATAAGAGGTCAAAATCAATGTTTGAAAAGGTCGGAATGATTCACATTTATGTCAACAGAAAGGAATGCAGTGAGGAGCATATCCTGGAGATTTATGGTTGGTGAGCCATTCTTGAAAGTTCAGAAGTTGTCGGAAAATTCTCCACGCTATAAATAACTTCAACGCAAATGTAGTGTTTTGTAACATCGTCTGAGGCACAGGTACATTAGAAGGATATGTTGCAATTGTATTGAAATAAGATTGATTTATGTTTGCCACATCCATCATCAGGTTACGTATTATTTAAAGGTCATGTCTTTATGTCATATCACCTGCTATGTCGAAGTCGACAAAAAGTTAGCTCTATAGTTCACCTACGAGTATGAGTGATTGATTAATTACCTAGTAATAAATAAAAGATATAGTATGCTAACTAGCTGGTTAAACCCACTTAATATAAGAAAAACTTTACAATATCTCATATACAAACAAAAATAAATTTCAGTTTTATCACGGATTTTGATTTATGACGTGCGAAAATAAGCTGTAGTAGGTACTCGTAAGTATGCGACAAGTTGATGTCACAAAATGATATCGGTGGTTATTGCAATTGATTGTTGTTATGTTGATGACGATGATGTTGTTAAATTCAAATACTAAAGCAATGTCTGAACTCTGCCGTGTACCTACTCATTTCGTTGTCGGACGTTTGTCGCTATAACATAATGACAAACTGTCTGTAATGCAACTACGAAATCGTGAAAGTGTTGTCCCTTCAAAGCTGTGGAGAATCTTTCCTATCTAAAGATTAGAGAACAAATAAAATGAAACCAAAAGTGTAGTTTTACTACTATACAAATATACATGCATATTATGTGGAGATGCTGATAATGATTCGCCGCGTACCTACTCTATCAACGACCGAGACAGATTTTTATGTTGAATACTGTCTACAAACTACGTATCACTATCTTAAAAAATGCCAGTATCTATTAGTGCATTCAACTTCCTCATTGTTTGATCAAACCTGCCTCAATATTCAGATACGGTCCACCAAAAACATCTAAAACCTGCCACTCTTGAAACAGATCTTTCACAATATCGCACGAGCTCTAAACTCGTAGATACGTGTTCGATTCCAACATACGAATGTACAGTCAACAGCTTTTATTGTATTGAATTAAGAATAAGGATGTATTTTGTCCTCAAGGACGTGACTTCAAACCGTAAATAATGTTTGAAAGATTATCCATTTTCAACATCTTAGTATAAGCAGCCTGAAACTTACAAGTATTCTCAACCAGGTAACCTTTTTTGAGGATCAGTCTGCAGCAGACGCTAGATCTTAGTTGACTTGTGAGACTCCACGATCTAAAATCACGTAACGTAACGTGGAAACATAGTGATCTCTCTACCATGAGCATCTGAAACTACATACATATAACCCAATGCATAATAGATCGCAGAGGGGTTTTACAAATACATACTGAAGGGAAAGGGTGCCACGTTCAGTTTAGTACCTTATTTGGAACATCTGTGATCGAATAGAGCACAGACTGAGGGCTTTTTAATAATTAATCTCTATCCCTGAAAAGAAGAGGCACCGCTCTAAAGTTTTCACCCATTTTTGAAAGGTCACAGATCTCATTCTTCAGACTCTACAACATTTCTGCTGCGGACTGTACCCAAAAGCTCGTCGTTGCGACCGGGTCAGTCCTGATGTAACCTAGGCGCGGCAGATGAGCCCCTTGCGCCACCGGTGTGTCCCCAAGGTCGTGACTCCACGGACCACGCTGCGCCATTCAGTTGGTTAGTAGCATTGTGTGAGCGCACTGGTTTGCATCCACCTGCTGAAATGAAGGCTTTCGTGATTTTCGCGTGCGTGTGCGCCGTTGGTGAGTTGAACTTTTAACCTGTAACTTAAGTTAACTGAGAGAAAGTTATTTTAGTTTAAAATCGTCTTTCAATAGTTCATTTTTTATTGATAATTTGTAATTAGCTTGAAGATTGTCTAATACAGACTAATCTCTCATTTTTAGGGTTCCGTAGCCAAAATGGCCAAAACGGAACCCTTATAGTTTCGTCATGTCCGTCTGTCCGTCTGTCCGTCTGTCCGTCTGTCCGTCTGTCCGTCTGTCCGTCTGTCACAGCCGATTTACTCGGAAACTATAAGTACTACAGTGATGAAATTTGATGGGAATATGTGTTGTATGAACCGCTACAAAATTATGACACTAAATAGTAAAAAAAAGAATTGGGGGTGGGGCCCCCCATACATGTAACTGAGGGATGAAAATTTTTTTTCGATGTACATACCCGTGTGGGGTATCAATGGAAAGGTCTTTTAAAATGATATAAAGTTTTCTAAAAAACATTTTTCTTAAAGTGAACGGTTTTTGAGATATCAGCTCTCAAAGTCGTAAAAAGTATGTCCCCCCCCCTCTATTTTTATAACTACGG